GACCGACCGATCGCCGCGACTACGGACGCTTCTATCTCGCTGTCTAGGTCTGCCAGACGCGTTTGATCGATCGATGCGAAATTTTGAAAAACACGAAAGAAACTGCGTCGAGCGACGACCGTGTATCCGCGTACAGGTGGGCGAGGAGCCCGGAGAAAGGGGAAGGAAGAGCAGGAGAAGGATGGCAAGATGTAAAAAAACTGGCGGACGTTGCGTGGCGTTCCGTGAGAACCGTAAGAAAAACGATCCAGCGTCGAAGGTTTCCGAGGGACGCGTGTGCTCGTGTGGGGTGTACAAGCTCGCACATGGTCCGCCGAATATACCGAGACACGGCGCGTACATACGCGAGCGTGGTCGGTTAACGCTCGGCGAACGAGGCCTTTGAACGGGCCACGCAACGCGAGACTGCTCGAAGGAAGGATGTGGTCGAGCAGAGGAGAAGAAGCAGGTGTTTTCTTCCGTTTCGCGTCCTTCGCCGCGCCGCACCGCGCCGCGATCCTCGTCGTGTCGGCCACCAGACGATAAGGACCAATTCCGAGCCGAAAATCCTCCGGAAACGTAACGCCGCTTTCCGTCGAGTCGACAACGAGTCCGGAAATCGATCGGACGACGATTTCCTCCGGCCAAACCGTCGTCCACGAATTCCATGATCGCAAACTTATCATTACGAACGGACGGAACGCGTACCTGGAAACGGATATATCGGTCCAGCTGTTCAGCTGTCCAGCAGCTGTGTACTTCACCTGCCGTTGTATCGTTACCGACGCGCACGCTCGTATTTTACCTTCGCGCGAACCGCTCGATCGTTCTACTCTATCGAACGTTCTTTTTCGAACTCGCGCTTCCGTTTTCGCGATTCTTTCTACCCTCCGACCGATTCGCGCCACGAGAACCACCGTCGACGAACGATTTTCAGACGAATCGCGCTCGTCACGGGGAAACGCGTCCCGTCACGCTACGGGAACCGAGGGACAATCATTTTACGTATCCGGCTATTTCGCGCTACTGCGCTCTCTTCCTACCGCTCCCGTCCTTTCTTCGCGAATTCTGTCCCCGTCCATCCGTTCACCGCGTTTTCCTTCGAGCTTACTCGCGCGTGAACGAAAAACGACTTTAGGAAGAATAGCGGCTGCCAGATCGAAGGGGTAGCGAGAAAGCGAAGCGATCGAAGGATATAAAGTCGAAAGCGCAATGGGTTTTCTCGCGACGAATTACGCGAAAGTTACCGGACGCAAAGTTCGTTTTATCGATTCGTTTTAAAGATCGGACAGGTGCGAGACACCGCGACGCGCGCTACACCTGCGCGCGTAACCGTACATCGGCTCTACCGTTTTCTTTAACCGCGCTCTTCGATTTTCCTCCTGCGCGACGCTGAACGCCTACGACAAGACGGAAACGCTTTCGACGAAATCGAAACGTTTACGAGCGAAGAGATCCCCGGCTACCCGTATCGCGCGGAAAGCTTAACGAGGAAACCGAAAACCACCCGGAGCTCCTTCAAACTATCGCGCGCACCGAACGATACGTCTTCGTATCGAGTCCTTGCGAACGTTCGGGCTGCTGCGGGTACCCTGATAGACCAATTATCCAGTCTTCTTTTCTCGATCGCGCATTTTCCAAGCTCTCGAACACGCTCGGTCGAAACATAAGTTATTTGAAAATTATTCTAAATACTACGCTTCTGTATATGTGACATATAAGAGATTTTCGCACTGTCAGAATGCATATGTAAAATATAAATATACTTGATCGACGCAAAATTTATTTATTTCTTACCTAACCTGCATTCATTTACCAGTTGAATTTCGCGGTATGGATTCTGTCGAACATGGCAACATCGATCAAAATCGATACCGTTATTTCGTCACTCTGGCCAGTGGGTTTCCATGACCAGCGTTGGTCAATTTTTCGAAAGGTAAGTTCGTATTTCATCCGCTTGACCGTGCAGCGTTCGATTACCGATCGAGCCGTTCGTTCTCGTCGGTACACCGTTCGAGGTACTCTCCAACAATCGATAAAACAGTGTGCGTCTTTCGGCTCGGTCGGTAATGCTCGTTCGATAACAACGAAAGAAGAGAGGCAGAGAGAAAAAGAAGATAAAAGAACGGACGAGATTTTTCGCGTAACACGGTTAACGTAAAATCAGCCGACGTGTACGAAAATTTCATTCCATTAAAGAAAACCGCTAAACGTGCAACGAGCGAATACGTTTCGATCAGAAACTTACGAGAAGCGAAATTTGTCCTATCCGATCAGGCGCACGCGACGATTTTCCATTAAAGCGGAGGAGAGTTTTTAAGCCGGATCCGGCATGTTTTTTCGCGACGGAACATTAATTCCGTCGCATCTACCGCATCGAAACCGGATAACGTACGATCAATTTTTCTCGTAGCGAAAGAAATCGAGTCGGAGTTTCGTTTAAAGGGAAAGGATCGTAAGTCGGAGAATCGCGATCGATCTTCCATCGAACGCGTTCTTCCGATCGGTCTAACCACCGATACGCCACTCGCCTACCAGATACGCGTGCATCTACTCGATTTCTTTTCCTTTTGACCGCGCACGGACCCCGCACGCTCGATCGAGTACGAAAACGATAAATTCTAATTACAGGACAACAACGTGACGCGGATGCACCGAACGTTGCTTGAAAATATTGCGTATCCTAGGGAACGCGAAGAAAAAAAGACACAGCATATCGGAGCATGAATCGTTTAAGAAATTTAGGGGAGTCGATCGAACGATCGAAAAGCGTTTACGCGATGCTCGTAACTTGTTCGTCTACTAGTTGGATCCTTGGAAAATCCCTCGAGAGCGAATAATCTCTCGAATACGTAACTGAAACGAACCTACTTCGCCGATAACCAGGAGTTTACCGATTTCGCGACGAATCAATTTCGAGAAGCCGTCCTCGTAGGAAAACGCCAGCAGCTAGTTACGCTAGTAACTAATTGGTGGGCAACGTCAATGTTGCCAGGCGTCTCGAGTCACCTACCAACGCGCAAAATTTCCATTTTTACCCTGCTGGTAACGTTTCTCGTCGGGTTTGCGAAAAATAGCGAGGAAGCTTCGTGTTTAGAAACGTCGTACGGAACGTTTAAACGAATCAAACGGCTTCGATGACCGTATCGGATTGATTTCCAGTTTATGTCTCGACAAATATCCCATAAAACTGGTCGAAGTTGTTTCGTTTCAGCGCCTAACGATATCTTCTCTCCCGAGACTTTGATTCGGTCGGGAAAGAGCCCCGTATAAAACGACGGTCGCGGCAAAGAAAAGCGGCGAAAAACGCGTGACGAGAAGATACGCGATATTATGTCCGTCTTCTTCCGATTTTCTTTGTTTTTTTAACCGCGTTCGGTCAACGACTAAACCAGCGGAATCGAGAAAACGAAGGAAAACTAATCCACCGGACGAAAATCGAGGAGAAAAACAGCCGAACCTAATATTTTCCGTTTACTCTTACCTGTTTCTTTCTTGTACCGCTTTTTTCGCGCTGCCCTGTCAACGAATAAATCGATAACCGAGATAAGTCGACCGATTTTGCCCCGCGCGGACGTCTAAACCAATTTTCGGAATCGGAAGCGGTTAAGAGGGTTCGCCTCGCCACGGAATTCTCCTTTTTCTTTCCGACTCGAACCTTCTTGTTCCTCGCGAAACGTAGGCGCGTCGCTCGTTGACCTTGCGTCTCGATCGCTCCGAAAGCGCCAGTCTGCTTCGAACGCGTTTATAACGCGTTATGCTCACGACACGACTATTTGTTTCCTACTAGCTTCTCGGGATATTATTAAAATGGGCTATCAGGTAATTTGCGTGCCGACTAATGTTAAACGGCGCCTTGGGAAGCGGACCGAAACCGCACAGGCGCCGCGATAAACGGTAAACCGCGACCCTCCGCTTTTCCGGAAACCAGCCGAAAAAGCCGAGGAATTTCACGAGAAAAACGTAAGGCGTGAGTCAAAGCGACACGTATGAACGCCTTTTTTTCCTCCGTCCAGCAGATGAACCGCTAGTTATCTTCTCGTTGTTGGACGAAACGAGCTCTTCGAGGGGGCTCTTCGAATATTTACACGGAATATTAACGGGCGAACGGCTACGTTCGGTGTACACACCGAACGAGCCTACGCTGATCGAAAAATAATATATGTACAGTGCTGGCCAGAAGATTTAAAGCAATCGTTTGCGTGTACCAGTATTTTTAATTGTCGCAATAGACATTTTATATCATTTTCATAATACCACTTTTATTCCTCCGCTTTACCAGTTCCGTTAAATAAACGTTTGAGATTTCCATCGATCGACTCCTCGTACAATCTTTTCGAGAATCTTTCGAATCGGATTTCTTCTCTGACCAACATCCATCGTGCTCGCTATCACCGTCGTCGCCGGCGTAGCTATCGTCGGCATCTAGTCGGTATACTCCGATACGGATTAAGAACGAAAACTGATCGCAACGGTAACGAAAACGCAAACAGAAGCAACGCCGGTAAACTTAATGGACAGGGTTTCGCTCGATCGTGTTCGTACGTCTTCGAGGAACTATAGATGGATTAAACGTGACTAACGACCGACGAGTTTCTATTTTCTTACTCGATTCTACCGGCTTCTCTGCCGTCGTTTAATCGCGTTTCGGGTCCATTTCCAATCGCGACCCAGTCGAAATGCGATCGAGATAGAGCAATTTACGAAATTGTTACCTGTTCTATTTTCTTTCGTCGAGGTACAGCCGTGGTTGGCAAGGGACGACTCGCCGACGAGAACCGAAAGAAAGAAATTCGCGAGAAGAAATCGGAATTAGAATGAGAGTAATAAAAAAAAAGAAAGATCGAAGGGAGAAATCGCGAGTAGGACATCGTGGGCTGGTGCGGCGCGGTGGAAGAACGGCGATCAGGAACATGGGGTGAGACGATACGAAGCTCGAACGGGGTAGCCGACGGATCCGTACGATTGGTCGAGGATGTTTAGATATTACGGGGTGGGGATAGGGATGAAACGAGTGGTGCAAAGTCGCGGGCTTATATAAACCGTGAACGCAAGATTCAGATTCGCAGAGCTGCGCTCACCGTTCACGAACTCGCTGATCCGCCGCTCGACCACTATCGTTTATCGTCTCGATAAACCACCCTCGCGAATCGAGGTAAGTGTTCCGCGTTTTCCGGCTTGGACTACTTCGAGAACTTCCGTTTGCCACGATCGAGCCTCGCAAAAAGATCCATCGATTCGCTGCACGTTCCTTATTTATTTCGTCGTTTGCGCGATTAACGAGAAGACGACGCGACACTTTTCTCAAGTCGCGACGTTTCCTTCGCGTCGTAAACTTACCGAAGGATACGATATTGTTCGTCTTTTCTCGCTCTTTCGCCAGCCAACTAGCTAGTTCTTATCGACGAGTTCTTCTACTTTTTCTTCGTTTCTTTCCTAGTATTACCGTTGTTTAACGACGGTGTCCGTTTAGCGATTAATATACGTAATAACGAGTTGCGCGATAGTCGACAGGGAAAACGTTCGTTCTTTCGGTTGCAACGGATTCGAATAAAAGTTTAAAAGCATCGTTCGCGCGCGATAAATTCTGTCGATTTTGATGGATATAAACCGCGACGCGTTCGTTCTATCCGTTTCCAGATACGATTCGCCTACGCTCGAAGCGTAATTTCGTTGCCGCGTAACATTTTCTGCCCGACATGGAACGAACGAAATTGTCCTCGTTTCGATGCGTTTACTCTCTCCGAAGAAAATAAACGTTCGTTTCGCGAGTTTTACGAGATTACCTGGCCGCGACACGGAACCGTTCTAACGCGTGAACCTAACGCGTAAAACGGCACGGACGATGAAATTTCACGCGCGAACGATCGCGTTTTAGACGAAACAGCGCGTTGCATCGCCTCGTAGAGGTCGTCGGGTTCTTCTTTTTAATCCTGAACAACGGATTCGTTCGAGATGCTCGATTTTCCGCATGGTTGTTTCACCGCGAAACGAAAACCGACTCGACAAAAAAACGAGAACGATCGAACATAAACAACCTTTATCCGAAAGAAACGCAGCTGTATCTGATTAGAACGAAAAGCGTATTCCTCGCTTTTCTCGTATTTGCTGCACGACCGAACAGTTGGTTACAACAGTCATATACACGCACGAAAACCGGAAAGAGTAAAGCTGCATCTTCGAATTTCCAGCATGGTAATCCCGAATCGGGGTAAACGAAGTTGACACGATTCGAAGGAAATTCGACGGGCGCTAAAAAGAGGCTATCGATGATCTTAATCGTGATTTGGGTGGCGCGTGGCGACAGATAGCGAATGTATCTCGAAAATCTTTGCAAAATCTTTGCTCGTCACGAGCATCGACGAACGCGACGGCTAACTTTCTCGATCCTGTTTCGAAGGATAGCGGTTGGATGGCAAGAAGAAGGACGGCTGCCATCGTGTTCTCGTTTAATCAAACGGTATTCCGATGGCTCGTAAAACGGGAAACGGGAAATAGAGAACGGAAAACGGAACTCGGTTTAACGCTGTAAAATAGGGAACGGAAGAGGAGATGACGGTAGCGGGTGTTCGAGACGAGGTTTCTGCTCGTTCGGGCGTACTCGGACTTTCTTCCGATAACGCTGTCCGATCGCGACGCGAATTTAGCCGCTGCAACCAGGTTTTTTCTTCTTTTTCAATTTACGTTCGGACTCGATCGTCCTTCGTAGCTAAATCGAACAACGAAACTGGTCGAGCGAACAATTCCATCTTTCCTAGCTCCGCTTCGACGCGAAACGCACGCGCGATTTTCGCGAACGTACCGGTGAAACTTGTAAGCTCAAGGGGACTGTCGAAAGTTCTTCGTATTCGCGTCGAACGCGAAGAATTTGCGCGTTTGTTCGCGGTTAACGAACGTAGCTAAGTCCGTGCGCGTGAAAACGTATGGTCAACGACAATTATCAGAAGCGACGAATCCAATTATCCTCCGTTATGTTACGGTTATTCGGCACGCTCAAAGCCACACGTGATTGCCTTCCTCGGCTGAAATACTAATTGAACGAATCTCGACGCGAAGAGAAATCGCGAAACGCTTCCATCCAGTTCGAGTCAGCGGGTTTCAATGATCGCGAAATTTGTTTACGACGCGTGCGACAAATCACGGAGCAACGAAATACGCGAACAAAATTCCAAATCTCGCGACGCTGTCCACGTTGACTCGTAACAAAATCCAAGAGCAAATTTGCTCTCCCGAGGGAAAATGTCGCAACGAGGAAAATATGGAGATCTAAGAATTTTGGAATAGAAAAGTCGTCGGGTTTCCACATGTATCCAAAAGAATCCCACACGAATGTACATACATGGAAGCGTAGAAGAACCACTAGCACCACCTCCGAGCGCAACACGTGCCCGCTCTCGAAACTCGTTCGCACCCGGCTTTTCCTCTCTACCTCGATACATTGAATAGTTTGTTAGTCGCTTTTCTCGAATGCACTCATCCAGCTTGTTCGACGACGCGACCAACAAAGTTCGGTCGTAAAATCCTCCTCCCTTCTTCCTCTTTCCTCGCCTCCTCGTTTCCTTCCTTCCGCTTTTCCCGTTATTCTCGATCGGACGAAAAAAAATTTCGCTCGTTACGCATGCAGCGGAAAGTGCAAACTTTCTATACATACACGTAACAAGCTTACACGAGTTCGTTTCGCTCTTTTACAGATCGGAAAGCAACATCGTCGAGGATGCAACGAGGGATCGTACCGTTCTGCGTACTGGTGCTGGCCATCGGTCTTTTCGCGTCGTCGAATTTATCGGTGAACGCCGCGCCGTAAGTTTCGTCTTCGCTTTTGAACGTTCGTTGCTCGACTGTACGCCTCGCGCGATGCTCCGCTCGGTAAACTCTGTATGTATACGTCGCTCGTTCAACGAATCGTAAAAGATCTCGCCACGGATAAAGGATAAACGAGCGTAATCGGGGACCGGTACGCTTACTGGTGGTACGAGCGTACCAAGTGACCGCGAACAAGCGTCCGGCAACATCGCGGAGTTTAACCCAGTTCTGCCTGACGAATCGACGTTCGCGAGAACGCGTTTCCCCTCGTCTGAAAGAGTATTGCCGTCGCTTTTTACCGTGGAATCGTTCGTTTCAATGGGAAAGTCGTAAACTGGATGGAAACGTGGAATCGTCGCGGAACGATGTCGTTCGAAAGACTATCGGCAATTCGCTACGTTTTATCGAGTAACGGAGCAGTTTCGCCACGGTATTCGACACTTAGGAGAAATTTTCGCGTTTTAGGCAACAAAGTTACTGGAGTCAATTCGAAGAGGAGGATCCGGAAGCGCTGATGGATATCATAACTCGACTTGGACGCACTATGATGCTGAATCCGGAAGTTGAAAAGTGAGTAACGTTGCTGGTGCATTTCGTCCTCGTGGCTGCGTAACGCGCGTACAAATTTGTCGGCCCGTCGTCGATCGAACGTTCTGTTGTTCGCAGCAGCAAACGCGGATTGGATTTGGGTTTGAGCCGTGGATTCAGCGGTTCGCAGGCGGCGAAACATCTGATGGGATTAGCGGCAGCGAATTACGCCGGAGGACCTGGTCGACGACGCCGTTCCGAACAACCCTAGATCACTGACAATAGTGCTTCTCGATTTTCACCTTCGTCTCGATTTTTCTGAAACCTTCTCTCGCGTACGCGTCCCACTCTATTTCTCCGTTCCTTCCTTCTTACCTTCCTTCGTATGCTCTTCCTTACGATAACGCACGAGCGTCTACCTCGATTCCACGTGTGCGCTCACGATCGACCTTTTTTTATCCTAAATGTTCCGTCTCTGTGCATCGTGCTTTTCCCTTTTCTATGGCTCGTAGATATTCCCATCGGGTCGTTCGAACGATAGCGTATAGTCCGTGGATATTGCTCGTAATGCGCGATAACGATGATAAAAAAAGAAGACAGAAAAATGGAGGTGAATCGGGAAGAACACGATGAAAAATTTATTCACGTAAAATCGACCGAACAGCTCGATATGCGCGATCGTCGACGACTACTGTGCGTTAGAACGTTCTAAGTTTAAACCTTAGACCGTAATTCAATGGACGTGCGCGTATTGTTCGTTCGTACATGTAGAAATAGTCTTATTATTCGTCATTTTCTTTACGATGCCATCGATCGTATCTCGATACGCGCATCGAGTATAGTTTAATCGCGTCAAGATAACGATTCTTCAAATATACAGCTGTACAACTATAGGGCGGTCTCCGATGCATCATAGTGACCAGTTCGAATATTGCAAATAAAAAGATTACGAAAATCTCTGTTGTCGATTTTTATTTCCGAATGGCTGTAAATACTCGTACCTCGAACGAGCTGACGTCCGTGTAAAGGTCAACGCGTACATTTCCCTCTTATGATCCGCGTTCGGATCAACCTTATCTAAACTTTATTCATTTTTCCCACATTAAAGTTATGTACCAATATAAACCGACGTTATCTTTCCCCTTTCTGTTCATCTCTGCTCTTTCTTCTCTTCTTATCTCGAACGCGCAAATAATTACGATACGAAGAACGATCGATTAGGAATACCGCGTCGTACACGCGCCGATATGATACCGTGCGCGGAATCCGCTAAACCATATAAATAAACGCGAACAAATATTATTTGCTTTGATCGATCGACGTGACCCGACGCCACGCGCACGTATTGTCAATCGTTACAGCAGGCGCATCGAAATCGAACAAAACTGCGAACAAGTGGGTTGATGCGAAATTTACAGTCGTGCCGTCGCGCCGTAACGCGCGAACAACAATCGATTCGTCGACAGAGTCGTGCAAACACCGCTTTTCGAGAAAACTTACCTCGCGATTAATTTCACATCGACGAAAATAAAAATGAACGCTAGTAGACGATGCTACTAGAACGCAAAACATTCGAAATTGTATTACGCGCGCTTTGAATCGCGGCAACCTAACCAAAAACGTGTCCTTGCTCGCTGGCTAGTTACCAACCCCGTTCGTTTCTATGAACGCGTATTTTGATTACATATGTACTATCGACGCGAAGCACCAAATCGTACGCTGATTATTCGACTAAAATCGTACGAGTTAACGATATTTATCGATCTCGGAATAAATTGGGAAACGAGAGCGTACGTCGCGTCGTTGGGGTGCAATCACGAAACATGATTCGGTAATTTTCAACAAGTTTTGTGCCGCGTGCATTTCATCGTCTATCGTGGATTCAAGTTGCGTCGAATCGCGTCGTGGATCTACGCAAAATGATGTGAGCGCTCTCTTGCGGGGCACGAGTCAATTTCAACGCCGAGTTAACCTTTCTACCAACATATTTGTCGTGGCATATATTGGCTACGAAACGTGCTCGTTTTTTTCACGATAATCCATTTTCAATCAAATTATCGCACTTCTCTTCGTTTATCTTGCCTCCTGTATCTTCACACTTTCTGTTAAACCGTTTCTTGGACATCGCGAATTAATAAACGAACGTGACGTTGTTGATTGGTTGATCGACCGATCCGCAATAAGTCGATAGTGAAGGAAATGGAATTCGTTAAATCGAGAAACAACGATGCGAGCGGGCTAGTTTGTCGCGTTTCGAAACAGCGTGCGTGCGTGCCTACCTTTTAAAAGATTGATACGCGTATGGATCGAAAAATCCAGAAACGACCGCGTTCCAATAGTCAACAAAGTAAATTGACTATCGGAATAATTGTAGCGATGCTCGGAATCGGTATCGCTTCCGCACTGTTTGCCTACGCGGCATTTGCGGTCGCGACAGACGCATCTAACGATCAAACAAGTATACAACAGGTGATATTCGTAAGTATCTATTGGTCGACCGTACGCGATCGGTAAGTCTCTTGCGCGGCGTTCCAAACGAATTAATATCGAAAGCGCGTGTCGATAACAGGTTTTCCGACATGGGGATCGTACTCCTACGGAAACTTATCCGACGGATCCATACCGGGATTACGATTGGCCAGGAGGTTGGGGAGCTTTGACCAAGGTTAGAAAATTTGAGCGGACAAAATAGTGCAACGCGCAACCAGTCGCGATACGTCGCGCCGCACAGCGTCGCGTCGATTTCGTACGAACTATGTATCGAACACGATTTTCCGTCGATAATCGTGAAATCATTTTAGGAAGGCATGCTGCAAATGTACAATACAGGTCGGTGGATTCGGAACCGGTACGGCTCGGTGATCGGTAACAGATACTTGAGTAACTTGTCGTTAACGCAGAGTAGTTACGCGGATCGCTGTCTAATGTCTGCCGAAGCTTTACTCGCAGGCTTGTATCCACCGAGTCCCGAAGAAATATTTTTTCCGGGTTTAAATTGGAGACCCGTTCCCGTCCATTCTACTCCTAGAAATCTAGACAAGGTGGGTGATATTCCATTTGCTCCGAAATCGGTTAAACCGAGTTAGCCGATACGCGAGACAAAACCACAATTGCTTTCAGATTATCACGGTCAAGGCTTCCTGTCCAAGATTAGAGGCAGCTCTGAAGGAAGCATACGCGAACGAATCCGCGCGTCCTGGAACTCCATCGGCCGAATACTATAAGCAACTTTCCTCCTATGCTGGAAAAAACATCGCTACTATCACAGACGTTGAATTTCTATATAACACTTTGGAAATCGAACAACTCCACGGTTTAAAACTACCCGCTTGGACAAACGAGTATTATAACCTACGCATGCGCGAACTCGCGGCTCGGAGTTTAGCCATATTTACCAGCAACGTGTTGCAGCAACGACTGCGAGGAGGTAACGGTCTCATCATGCACCTATTACCATTTTCTTTGTTTCTTTTTTTTTTCTCTACGATCATTTTTCGTATTCGACGGATCACTCGAATCGAGTTACCCGAGCTCTACCGTCCCGCCTCATTTGCTCTTGTATCCTTCCAGGACCGTTGCTCAAAGAGATCTTAACCCGAATGCAAGCGTTCAAAAACGGCGATGATACGAGACGAGCGTATTTTTATTCCGCCCATGATACAACGCTAGTGAATTTGTTGAGAACCATGGGATTCACGAACGAGTATTTCAAACCTGACTACGGTGCGATGCTAATTTTCCAGTTGCACAATGTCTCTGATTTTACAGAAATAAAGGTGTCTTTCAATTTTATTCTATTTCACTTCTTTCCGTTTATTTCATTTCATTTTATTTTATCTCTATTTTCCTTCGTTCTTTCCAGTTAATGTATCGAAATAACTCGAACACGGCTACACCGCATCCTATGGAAATACCAAAGTGTACCACGCCTTGTACACTCGAAAACTTGACGAGTTTATGGAAGAATGTGCTTCCCGATAACTGGGACGACGAATGTCAACCATGACGATACTTCTTCGTTTCAGCCTTGTTTTTCGACACGTGCAACCTTTTGCCAACATTGCGTTCTGCACATTTTTTATTCTTTTACTTAAGATCGAATACGCTTAATCGAATCGAAAGATAACGAAAGAACGATAAGCGAGTCGGTACGATACGGACGTTTGCGGTTTTCTTCTGATTCTTCCCTCGTCCGTAAGTCAAACGGCATAAGTAACCCTGCGATATTCTCTTACGTTAGAATACTAAGAAAATCCGTCGATTAGAAAAAAGAACGGAAAGTCTAACTTTACGTCCGTCGAACGGTACACGCGTCGTGCTACGCACGGCCCGCGCCGCACCGTGTCATACGAATCAATTCTAATTCCAGCGAAGCCGGTTAAGATTACTAAATTGGCACAAAATCGTTTAACCAGGATGTGTCCGCGTTGCTTACGCAACAAATGACACTGGATGTTTTGCATGTCTCGTTACGCAATACCAGAACGATTATTACGAGCAGTCTTTCCGTTGAATTCAAATACTCGAACGTCGATTAAACGTCGTCGGTATACCGACCGAGATATCGCGCCCTCCTCGAACGCCTACCCTCCACCTTTCTCGTTGTTCGACCGTTCGTCATTCAAACTTCTTTCTACCGAACAGCGCCCGATACATCCATGTTCTTTCGTTGTCTTTCGATTTAATTATGTTCCTGGTCAATGTTCACGGGTATACACCGATATGCATGATCGGTGATCATCCAGCGGTGATCATCGATTCATCGGTCGCTGCGATGAAATCATCGCGCGAACTTTGAACATTCCGCGTATACAGATCCCTCCTTGTTTTATTTTCTTCTCTACATAGTTGAATAGATAAATACGATAAATAGATATATTGATAGACGCAGAAATAAGTGAATCAATAAATAAATATTACAGTCAAATAAATTTGATTGATTTAAGATAGGACGTAATGACATAGCGGACGCGATACGTGTAGATATAAATTAAACTTTGAACGACAACCTTTATGCGTGACAAAAAAGACCAAATGTGATACGAATATGTAGTATAATAAAACGATACGCTTCCAAGTTATACGCGCTTATTGCTTATTTGCCGTGTATTCGCAGCATCTCTTCACTCGAAACGTAATTACCATTCGACTTGACCTACTTTTAGCTATTTTAAATCATTTATATCGTTAAATTAGAAAAGCAAATGCTTTATGTTTCATACGCGCTCTTATCTGTCTAATCACCGCTCAGTTACTCTCGCGATGGAATTTGTTACTTTCGCATTATCTGCTTATGTTACGGTTTCGACCGATTTCGAAGCGGTAAATTTATTCAGCTTGAATTAAGTTCGACTTGGGTTGAGTATCGAAAATCGATACGATTACAAACGTGGAACATCTTTGTTCGACTTTTGTTCCTATTTACAGGAAATATCTCGTCTCGATATTTACGGAAATCGAGGAACGAAGGTACATCGTGTTCATTTACGTTTACATGCACAGTATACGTGCGTGTGTGTTTCCATACACAGCACGTACATGCGTGCGACGGGCACGCGTGTCGCCTGTATCTATACCGTACCGTGTACACCATACATACGTAAGTACAGCAGGCAGAAACGAACGATGGTAGGAGTGACTACTAGCCAGAAAAGAACAGAATCGAAGAGTCGGGAAGAGGAATCGAGGGGAAAGGAAGAATTGGCGGGGGAGCGAGAAAAGCAATGGGATGCGCAACGCGCAGCCGAGCCCAGAGTATCGGTACAGGTTCATCCACAACGTGGTCCGTTGATCGTTCTGGTCTGGTGTGGTATGGTCTGATCTGGTCGGGTCGGGTCGGGACCGTTTGTCGTTACGTTGCACCACGTCGCACAATCGACGTGTCGAGTCTCGAGTAGTGTAACTTCTTCGTTCTTTTCGAAGGATCGACCAACAGATATCGTCTTTCCGATAACGATTCTCGTTTATCGATCTAAGTGATTCAGAGAATACGATACAATTTATCGCGTTTATATCAGTTTCAGTAGATTTTAGTATTCCGATTACAAATTACAGCCATTCCAGCACAAGTGTACGCTCTGTCAATCGTACCGCATGATAGCGTGCGCTTACGCTTGTCACTCTATTTCTACTCTGCTGACAGCACAACGAGAGGTTAGTTTCCTTTTAGTTTCGTCTATTTTGCTTCTAAACTTGCTTCTTCTTACCATTCTATTTACATTCCTTTCACACATCATCGATCGATTTCTCGATTGAGCGTGATACACGCAATGTTTCTGACTAATTGTTAAGGAACGAAAAGAGCAACCGTTCCAATTACAACGTTATCGGCACAGCTTACGAGCGATACGATTCGTTATACGCTATATGCCGTACGCTACGTCATCCTCGTTTCTACTAATTCGTTTCTTAGAACTACCATTATAATTGAAATTAACGTCAAAATAAATAGGGTACTCGTGATTTATTTGTAGGATCATCACCTGACTACAGCGCGAAATGTTCAGTTGGTTGAGTCGAGAAGAGGGCGGAAGACAGGACCTCTTTGAAAATGTTACAGAAGGTCTTAAAAAGATATACAAGTCTAAACTACTACCTCTTGAACATCATTATCAGTTCCATGACTTTCATTCGCCTCAACTCGATGACCCGGACTTTGACGCCAAACCCATGATCCTTTTGGTGGGTCAATATTCTACCGGCAAAACTACCTTCATCAAGTATTTGCTAGAAAGAGACTTTCCTGGAATAAGAATCGGTCCTGAACCAACGACAGATCGCTTCATTGCAGTTATGTACGACGAGAAAGAAGGCGTAATACCTGGGAATGCTTTAGTTGTTGATCCGAACAAGCAGTTTCGACCCCTTTCCAAATTTGGAAACGCGTTTCTTAATAGATTTCAATGTTCTACTGTCGCGTCCCCTGTATTGAAAGGAATATCAATAGTCGATACACCTGGTATTTTGTCCGGTGAGAAACAAAGAGTAAGTACATTTAAAAATATATCTTGTTTCGCCAGATATTTACTTGTTAAATAAACCTGTACTTCCGATCCAAAGCTTTCTCTCTTTAACGTCAGGTTGACAGAGGCTACGACTTTACTGGAGTCCTGGAATGGTTTGCCGAACGAGTGGATAGGATTATATTATTGTTTGATGCGCATAAACTCGACATTTCTGATGAATTTAGAAGATCCATCGAAGCGTTACGTGGTCACGACGACAAAATTCGAATCGTGCTTAATAAAGCCGATATGATCGATCATCAACAACTCATGAGAGTATATGGAGCATTAATGTGGTCTTTAGGAAAAGTTTTACAAACTCCAGAAGTGGCTAGAGTGTACATCGGATCATTTTGGGACCAACCCTTGAGATACGATGTGAATAAGAGGCAAGTTAATCGGTTCTTATTCTACTTTTCTGATCACAATTTTATAAAGTAATGTCATCTTGTGTAATGCTTGTTTGTCGATATTTATTTATTTGCTTTTTGTAGATTATTCGAAGACGAGGAACAGGACTTATTTAAGGACATGCAATCATTGCCGAAAAACGCGGCCCTTAGAAAACTTAATGACTTGATCAAACGCGCACGATTGGCGAAGGTAAACATAAAAATTGCATTTGTCTACTACCGTTTCATCGTCGCTGATCGATCGATATCAATCCTCTGGTAGTGAGTAAATAAAGATAAAAGCTAATCGTGCACGATTACTTCACAGGTACACGCTTATATAATCAGTGCTTTAAGGAAAGACATGCCCAGTGTTTTCGGCAAAGATGCAAGAAAGAAAGAACTTATAAAAAATTTAGGCCAAATTTATGATCAAATACAGAGGGAGCAACAAATTTCACCTGGCGATTTTCCAGACTTAAAAAAGATGCAGGAATGTTTGGCACATCATGATTTCAATAAATTCAATGTTTTGAAACCCAAATTGTTAGAAGTAGTCGATAAAATGCTCGCCGAAGATATCGCTAAACTTATGGCGATGATACCGCACGAAGAAGTTGGTACGACGTGTGAATCGCTTGTCAAAGGTACTTTCTATCGTCTCTTACAAATGCCCATTTCGTCCATATCTATACATTATCGCCGCTTTTCCTTCAACGATATCGATTGTTTATTGATCGTCGTATAGTTACTAACGTTGCATATTCGCATTAATGGTTCGAATAATAATTGTGACGCTAATTCTAAAGGTGGCGCATTTGAAGGTGTAGAAGATCAAATAAGTCCATTTGGATACAAACGAGGGGAAGGTATCGATGCTGGCGCAGGTGAACCAGAATGGATCGTAAACAAGTATAGAGCTAATTCCGATGATATTTTCAAAACGCTTGGTCCATGTGACGGAAAAATTACGGGAGCAGGTAATTGTCTCGCCACAGCCATTACTTTGATCAACTTTTTCTCGTGTTTCGTTAATAAACCCGTTAAATACATGTATATGATATATCACTACGTTCAAATGCATCTATATCATGGAATAAAAATAAAAATAAAAATAAAACATCGCTTTTCTAATTTATGTGGCACTTTCTTTTTTTATATTAACGATGTTTCTTTGAAATATTTTCAGCGGCTAAGTCGGCAATGGTGAAATCTAAATTACCAAATAGTGTACTTGGTAAAATTTGGAAATTATCTGATATCGATAAGGATGGGCTTCTGGATTCTGATGAATTTGCCTTAGCGATGCATTTAATTAATGTCAAACTCGAAGGCTACGACCTTCCAGCCGAATTGCCTGATCACTTGGTACCGCCGTCGAAACGAAATTTATAAATTAATATCGATCGTGTATTTCTGTCTCTCGTCTCATCGTTGTTACCTTTGGTACATACCTTTGGCACGCACATTACACGATTGTATTTATTGATTAGCCAATAATGCGACGCTAAACACATCGACGGACGTTATCATTTTGTAAACGTTCAAAAGAATACACTATATTTACGAATACTACGTCAATAAATTATTTTATATCGCTGTTGGACATTTGTTTGCCTATTGGTTAACCGAAAGGAAGACGACCATTTTTTTAAAACTGTAAAATTATCACCTCCAGAAATGACTTTTGGCATTTTTAACTTAATATTACACGTATTCTTTCAAATACTACACTTATGAAAAGGAAAACACAGATTTCTTTCGAATGTTTGTGAAATTTTGTTCTACCTTTTCCTCGTTTCTTCAACGGAAATGAACGTTGAACTTGCTCTCCCATGACGGCTAGAATATATTTAACGTGAATCATGATTCGCATTTTGATAAACGGTGATTGTTAAACGTTATAATTGTAACCGAAATGGGAAATTTTTTAAAATGCCTATAACAAATTATATTTAACACTTAAAGCTATGACCAAAACAATTGCATATACACGACAAACCACTGCATTTGATATCAGCACTGCCTCCGTATGTAAATAAATGCATTTTTACAAACAAATATATATTCTTGTTCAATATTTCTTTTGTGCTTTTATTTAAAAAAAAAAAAGGAAAAACTTGTAGCAAATTTATTTCTTTTATTTTACAAGTAAGTATAATGGATTAGTTGGGAAGCGTAAGGATTAAGATAATGCATAGAAAATATTTTACTATATCTAATAACTTTGGCAGTGTTACAATGTAAATAATTATATTACAAAAGAATAGTCTTACAAATATTGATTTTGTTCCTGTTAGTAATATTCGATGCCCGATATGTATATAAACCGTACAATTAAAGATTCTATAATTCATCGTGATTAATGCGGGCAACAAAGTCTAGAATACTACGTTTTATACTGTCTGCCACTGTATCGCTAATTTGGTAACCGTTCGCAAGTTTTTTTGCACTATATCGAAAATCATACGCCATCAATGTTGGATAAAATCTAACTTCAGCAGCAGCACACTCGTTAATATAAATTTCACAGTTGAGTCGACCAAATTGTATCTTTTTCCCCATCAACTGGAAAAAACACCGTTAGAAAACCAGACTATAACGATATCATTTTCTAAATGATATCACACTTACTTGAGCTACTAAAGCCAACTGAGGTTCAAGTTTTCGACAATGTTCACACCATGGAACATAAAAATCAACGATCCACGTGTTTCTATCGTTTAATACCTCTCTTTTTAAAGTCGATGGATTCAAATCCCTTACTTTCCGCGGGAGAAATTGTACGAACCATTGTAATATTGAAACTGAATCTCGTTGTCCATTATATGAACTAAAAATCGTTTTATTTATCGTTCAAATCAAATTATTTATGAAACAATAACGAAAGAAATACTTACACAAATTTAGATAAATCGTTATTTTCGTTCAAATATATCCTTATAGTGGGATAACTACGTATTCCTTGAGATGCGCATAAAACAGATTCCGCTTCGCAATCGACACTGGCTACTTTTACGGATGAAAGTATAGATAGAGAGTTCGCGACGGAAATCCATTCGGGTATTAGTCGTTGGCAAGGTGCGCACCACGGTGCAAAATATTCGATGAACCAAATATGTTTACCCATTCTTTGTCCAAGTTCATCCTCGAAATTATTTAACGAGAGTCGTATCACTGTGTATTGTATGCGACAATTATTAAATTATTATTTTAATTATATTATAAGCAAATATATGTACTGACCGGTGGGATTTCGCGTTTCAGTAATAAATTGAACAATGTTGGCAGCTGTTTTCAGCATTGAAAATTTATGAACATTGGTTCCGTTTACGAGCATCGCAGTTGGATATGAACGTATGTTCTGTCGCTGACAAATTGTAGTATATACGGTGCAATCTATAGTCCCAAAGCGAACTACAGATTTGTCAAATTCCATTGATGCTTTGCGAACTTCTTTCAAAAAGTGCATGCAAGGAGGACACCATGGTGCATACCAATCCAGAAACCATGCTTCATTGGCTACAAGTAAAAACCCATGAAAATGTAAAAAAATACACTCAATAAACATGTTTAAACATAAGAACACCGAGGTAATTTTTAAATTAAATCGTGCCTTACCATTCTTTCCTTCCATTATGGATATCACTTGTTTTTCGTTCAATGTCCACACATTTAATGACTTTATACTACTGTACACGAATTTAACGATATCATTAAATAGATCCTTTCCACGATAGAACTCGAATGCTCCTCCTGGTTTAAGAATACCCCACATTGGGTAATGATCTACATTAAATGTACTGCAAATACGTGAATGTTTGCCACAGTTAATTTTACCTAGAAATTCGTTACAATTTAGTGGTAATATTATATCATGAACAGCACGAAAAAATAAAAATCGAACATTCAACGTTACCTATCTTAACAACGCTAATATTACTAAAAAGTCGTTTCAGTAATGCATCTAGTTCAGTCATTTTTCCAATATAAAAATATAAAAGCCAACTCGAGTCGGATATATTTCCTTCGTCCAAATATTTCTTAATATTCTGTGAAAAACAAGACTAATCGTTAATAAACAGCAACTAATCATAAGTAAAAATGATGAGAAACGCATATTTTTTGTTGGAAGAGATAATTTACATAAAATTCATCATCATCAAGTTCGTCAGGATCTGGTAAATGTTCCAACAATTTCTCTATTAACACTTCTGCTTTGTTTATATTTTTGAAACGAACAACGTGCCAAGAATTATTCTTAAACGCGGACAAGTAAATCGCGTTAATATCTTGAGAATCTGCCATATTTTTGCACTTCTCTTCTTCATCACAGGAAAGTATTTTTACATCAATCACATTTTCCTAAAACAGGAAAGTGACAATTATTGTTATATTAAATACAGCTCACGATTATAGCGAATCAGGTTGTATAAGGTGAAATATTTCATAAATGAATGAATATAATTACGAATATTGCTGCGATTTTGAGACGATCGACAGACATAAAACAGTTTCGATGTACACCACAAACAAATATTAATATATGTTTCGTTGTTCCATTATTACCACGTAAAATAAAATTTTCCAATGATTCGTCTATTTCGTGTATATCAACCTCCAAATTGTTTAAAATAAAATCCGTAATGGCAGTATATGTCTTTTCACCCCTATAACGTTCTCCATCTTTTGAATACTGCAACAAAAAGAAAGTTCCTATCAATAACTTATTTTCAATGATTGCAGCTATTTAAGCATTTTGAATATTTTAAAGTATTTATAAACGTTTGAACTTTAATGTCCTTTCTATGATCAATTTTTAACAATAATCTGAAATGAACCTGCCTTTGGATAATACATTAAAGTGGGATAAGATTGTATTGGAATCTGATGACAAAGTTGCCATTCATCCTCACAATTTACAGCTCCTATTCGTACAACTCCATCAAATTCTTTTGCAAGTTTCCTCCAAACTGGTGCAAGACGATGACAATGACTACACATGGGAGAATAAAAATTTATTATCCATGCTTTTTCTGTGTTTATAACACTTTCAACTGCAAAAATTAAAATATACATGCTGTTTATTAGTGTATAATAACAAAAATATTGTTTTTTACAGGTAAACGTACAATAATCATTATTATTGAGCTTAATAATTTCAGGATCATTAGCATATAATTCAAAATCATTTTCATAATTCCAAGAATAAAAACCTCCTCCTCTGTTTGTATTATCAAGACCCATCTCTCCATAGTTGTCATATGTTTTCCTTAAAACTGGATCTTTCAGTGTTTCATAAGCTTTTTTTAATTGAATGAATCTATCATGAGCTACGGGGTCATCCTATAATATATCAAAATAATTATTCATTTTAATACATTAATGTTATTTAGTTTAAAAACATTTTAGACGTTAAGTTAGAAATAGAGATGTCTGAAATTATTGATCAAACACTATGTTTAAATTAGTAATTATGAACAATCAAGAATGTACACTTCAACCATATTTAGTTAAAATCCTTGACTTACTTTAGATAAGAAGTTGATAAGAGAGTTGTACCTTCACATACATTATTTTTATCAGGATGTTCTGCCACTGCCAATTTCTTGAATGCTCTTCGGATCTCTTTCAAATCAGCTGTTTTGCTTACACCAAGAATTTCATAATAATCATTTCCCATGCTCATGGATATTATATCAACAATAACAATAAATGTATATATATTAATCATTTTATACCTAAAAAATTTTTAATTTTAATTAAACTTTTTAAAAACGATATATAAGATTAATTTTTAAAATATACTTTAAAAAACATAAGTACTTCTATTATTGATTTCTATGATTCGAGTAATATTGATATATTTATTAATCTTTCCTTTTTTCCCTTATATCGGCGTTTTAAATACTTACATTTTTCTTATAATCATTTTGTTCTCCGATCCTGTACTCTTACACGTTTATGTGTAGCGATTTTAAAGATATAGTACTCCAAACACTATAAAAAATAAGGAAAAAGATGAAAATTATAATAAAACGAAATATACTCTACATCCTAAATATACTTACAATTAGTTTTTAAATTCATTTGTTTCTTTTTTATAGACACCTATAGATTAGCCGAGTCTTCGTGAACGGACACAAAACGACAAAAAGGAAGTAGAGTACATTGATATTCGTCCTGCTAGTTTGCTACATAAACACCCACATATATTTCCCAACACTTGAGATAGAAAAATGTATTTTTTTTTGTCGATCCTCTTGACGCGCATCAAAGCCTCTCTAAAACTACAAGTTCTATGTCAGATATGTAATAATTCAACACTAATTTTAGATAGAAGTTTGCATACATACTCTATGTATACAATGCACTGTGTAGTAAGAAATAACTAGGTCCGTTTGATTAGGCGCTCCGCGCCTAACCTAACAATGTTGAGCGAGCGAGTAAATTTCACGCTAAAGCAAGAATAGTCAACCGTGTCATCCGGTTGAATTAGTTGAGTGGTGCAAGAGAAAAGCGAGGATAAAAAAGTTGAAAAGTCAAGTACATAAGCGCGAGCAAATTCAATTTTGTATTAAAGTCTACGAGGATATGGTTATTCCTTCGTGGCATGCGCGGGCGGCACGTAGGAGGAATATACATGACAATGAGTATGCAAAATCATTAATTACTCACTTTTTGAGCACAGTTTATGAACTTTTATGATTAAAGAATGGACAGCAATGCATTATTTACATGGTTCGATCATAAAAGTTCATAAATAATGTTCGGGTAATGAGTAATTAATTATTTTGTGTCAGCATTGCGATACGTACATTAGCCGTCTATGTCAATTCTACTGCATATGCAAAGTGCAATATTTCGGCACTTTGACGACGTAGTATGGTTCCTGAGGCATTTAGAAATAAATTTCTATTAGGGTTTGATGCGTTTTGATGCCTAATAAAGCCAGGAAATCAATTTTTGTCGAATTTGGTCCAAAACGGTACAGGTGGCGCCATCTAGCGGCGAGCGGCGGAACTACGAAAAACTAAAATTTCGATTTTCTCGGAAATTGGGCAATTTTACGTATTTCTGAGGGTCAGAAATTGTTCTGTGACCTGCCTAGAACCTACGTAATGCCACAAGAACCTCCTAAAAGCGCTAGAAAAGAAAATTAAAAAAAAGGTCAAAACATGGACTAAAAAATTGGCGTCCATCTAGCGGCTAAAGTTGGAACTACAAAAATATAAAAATGCGATTTTCTCGAATATTAGCGAATTTTGAGTACTTGTGAGGCTCAGAAAGTGTTATGTGATCGCATTAGAAACAAAATAAAGCAATAAAAGTTTCCTGAAAGCTTTAATAAAGAAAATAAAAAAAATGTCATTTTATGGAGAAAATTTGTGGCGCCATCTAGCGGCGAAACTGCGAACTAAACTGAAAAAATGTATGTCCGAACACGCGTTAACTAAGGAAAAACATATAAAGTAATATTTCGCAACTTTGACGACCTAGTATGCTTCTTTAGATATTTTAAAGCAATTTTTGTTCAATAAGTTATTCATTTTTTTGCCTATTAAACCCAGAAAATCATTTTTTATTTGATCCCTTAACGCGTGTTCGGACATACATTTTTTCAGTTTAGTTCGCAGTTTCGCCGCTAGATGGCGCCACAAATTTTCTCCATAAAATGACATTTTTTTTATTTTCTTTATTAAAGCTTTCAGGAAACTTTTATT